AGTTTAGTAGCTGTTATCACTTTCTATTATTGATGGGTATTACTTTCCTAACCTTTTATTTGAAGTAGTGTGGAATGTCAACATCTTGATTATGTCATTGTTTTCTCTTTGAGTTACACGTGCTATCCATATTAACTGTTGTTGCTGTTAAAGTCCTCAAGTGATGTGGTTTCTGTTATTTTTGATTTTGTATCACCAGTCCACAATGTTCAAAGAATGATGGTCTTCACCATGACTCTCAGGCTTCACTCAATCAAAGCCATTTTTAGCATTGATCTTAGAAAGTGGTGCTATTCAGCTGACATTTTAGATATTTCTGAATGAATGTAATGCCTTGCATAGCATCCATTTGTTGAGGCTATTTAAGATTATGACTCGAGTTTTCAGGTAAATGTTTTGGTTTTGTAAATACAAAGCAAACACTTATTAATAATAGTTTTATTTGTATTTGATGCTTATGCATTTTTTTTAATTGGAATCATCTCAAACAAGGTATTAATGCCACTAAAACACAAGGGGTTAAATATTAAAATTAGCATTTGTAAAATATTCCAGTTGAAGTTCTAAAACCATTTCATTTCTAACATTAACATTCTTGAAAAATGACTAGAGCGAGTAGAAAGTTCTCACATTAAAAACATCATCCCTCAAATCTCTTATATGGCAGTGAATGCAAGACAATCTCCTCACTGATGAAGAAGAATCTTGAAGTAACAGAGATGTGATTCCACTGACAAATGCTAAGAATACCATGGACAGAACATGTGAGCAATGAGGAAGTTTTAAAGAAAACAAGCACAACATGGTAACTCATATAATCAGAAAGACACAGATGAAATTTCTAGGATGCATAATGAGCAAAGAGCACTTGGAGAATCTAATACTCACAAGACATATAGCAAAAAAATATAATGGTGAAACAGCAAATAATATATTTACTGAAATTGCATGAATGGTTGGCTGACCAAGAACAAAGAGGGATTATGTTAAAGATCAACAAATGCTATTTGCTAGAGAGTTTTTTGTTTATTTTCAGCTTTCATAAAATGTTTTTTTAAAAAGTGACTATACACATGTATTGTGTTCTTTATGCTATGTCAGTTTCATCTTTTGTTTCATTTTTTTCAAATATCACATGATGTTACTTTTTTAAAGTATTGCATTTTCATGCATTAGTTTGTATTGTCATGTTCTTGTTTATTTTACTTTCATATATGATCAAAATAGCTTATGAACATACACACACACACACACACACACACATATATATACACACACACACACAGGGTGCGATGGATAAATTGTCATCTAAATTCCACAAAAATGAAAATAACACTGACATCTCATTTTAACAGATATATTTACCAAAATTACTACAAAAATATCTTGAAATACTAAAAAGTAAATTTATTCAATAAAATCGCCATTTGCCTCATTGACCACGGCCTCCAGATGACTTCAGATAGAATCTCCTGCAAACCTTCTGGATGGTCTCCATAAACAAAGTTGGTGAATGCTACCATAATCTTTGCATTCAGTTCATCTTTGGTGTTACAAGGAGTTTGTTGGTCTCAACTTCAACCCACACGTAATAACCAAGGGAAGTTAATGCTTATAACAGGACGGTTGCAGTCTTTTGAGTTAGGTGGCCAGATGTAAGGGGTGATGTGGTCACTGAAATTGTCTGACAGCCATGACTGGGTTCTTTTGCTTGTGTGGCATGGTGCAGAGTCCTGTTGCCAGTCATTGGGTCTTCCAGCTGCTACCCTCTTGACCCAGCACTACTTCCTCAAGGAACTTGATGTAGGTCTCTGGGTTGAGTCTGAGGCCCTTTGGGAAAATGAATGGAGATATAACGTTGCCATTTCTAGTGATCACTCCAAACATCGTAATCACTCTTAGGCTCATCCAACTCTTTCCAAATCCTCTGCATTTTTCTCAGATTGATGCCCAAACACTCTGAAATGTTCGTATTGGAGCTTCCAGCATGAATGCCAAGCAGTACAGCATGACGTTTCCAAATTTCTGGCAGAGTGAATTGCATCATAGTGATCCTTTTCTCACAGATGGTGCCCAACTGAACATAGTTTACTGTGCAGTCGACAAAATCAGAAACAAACAATGTACATATACAAAAATAAAAATATGAAATGTTGACATTTACATATATATATATATATATATATATATATATATATACATACATAAAAATGAATAGAAAGAAAAAAACAGATTTCGAATCCACAGTTCTTTAGTATTTACGTTTTAAAAAAGTGCTCAATACAATGTAGAGCATAATATTTTTAATGATATTTTTATTTTACATTGCGACACAGAAATTTTTGTTTCAGGACTTTAATATTTTTATTCCATCATCAGGTAATGTTCAATAATTTTTGATGAAAATAATTTACTTTTGAAAATGGAAAACAATATGTTTGTTTATTAAAAAGTTAAGTAAGAGGGGGCACTACATTTTAAAATTTTATGAGAATATCTCTTTTGACTAATCAAAAGACAAGTCAAAATATATGGAGGAAAGATTTATCACAAAAGTTTTTGTGTGACATGTTTCATCCTTTAGTACTTCATTGGTCTAGTTCACTTTCTCATACATCTTTCCACCAAAATTCTTCTTTATATATATAAAATTATATAATATTATATATGTTATCTATATATATATATATATATATATATATATATATATATATATATATATATATATAATTATTTTCACACTCAAAAACTGTTAGCCATTCTGGAAGATGTATTTTTAGGCCGGAAGTTTTTGTAACTGCAGTGCTCAATATCAAGAAATATAGATAGGGCATTAATAATAATAATAATAATAATAATATATAAAATGATTGCTTGTATCTACTTGGAAGTTTTGCAGATTAGGAAGAGAGAAATGTGCTCTTTTTTTTTCTCCTGATGAGAGGGTTTCAGAATCTGCTAAAATCTAATTTGAAATAAGTAATCATTTTATTTATCTACTAGCAGTAGAGCCCGGCGTTGCCCAGGGATGTAACAGTAAGAGATAGATCAAGTATCGACCATCATAAAGACTGAAAAATAAAATTGACAAAGATTATTGTTTAAGGTTGACGAACACGCATCTCTTAATTAGTTTATATTCTTTTTTTTTTTTACGAATTGGTCAAACCCAAACTCAAACAAAAATATTGTTTTCAATCGTTATGAGTCTATCGATAGAATAGAATTTTATTATAAACAATTGTCTTGTAAATGGAATTTTTAAAGCATTCTGAATGTAAAAATAAAGAAAAAAGTGTACAAGACAATAAGAAACACTACCTGCCAAAAAAAAGTGAAGTTTTGTTGAAATTGGTTGAAAAATGTAGGAAATCCGATCCCATATATAAATGAACACAGACACCCACAAACAACCTAGGTTTTATAATAAGTATAACTCAATATGAGTTGTCCCCCTTTCATTCTGGTAACAGAATTGTGTTTTCAAATTGATTTAATGCAAAAACAATTGTGTTTTTCCAAATTTTGGCACTGTCAGAACCACCCCAAGGTAATTTTACGCAGTCCTGTGAAGTTTTGTTGAAATCAGTTGAAAAATGTAGGAAATCCAATCCAATATATAAACGTACACACACACACACACACACACACACACACACACACACACACACACACACACAATCTGCATTTTATAATAAGTAAGATTCTTTTATTTAATATTTATTTTTATCATAATATGTGTGTTTTTGTATATGTAAACTTTTGCCATTAGCATTTTTGACTATTTCGGATTCCTATTTTGAGATGTATCTGTAATGAATACGATGATGAATAATTTTATGAACAAAACTTTGGGTCGACATGTTATTATCAAGAGTATGCTTTTTAATTATTGAGAATATGGTTTGCTCTTCATTATCAAGGATATGGTTTACACTTCATTATCAAGTATATGGTATACACTACATTATCGAGGATATGGTTTACTCTTAATTATCAAGGATATGGGTTACTCTTCATTTTTTTATCTTACTATTTTGGATTCCTATTTTGAGATATATATGCAATGAATATGATGATAAATAATTTTATCAACAAAATTTTGAATTGACATGTCATCAAGAGTATGGTTTACTCTTCATTATTCAGAATATGGATTACACTTCATTACCAAGGGTATGGTTTACTCTTCATTGCCAAGGGTATGGATTACTCTTCATTACTGAGGGTATGGTTTACTCTTCATTACCGAGGGTATGGTTTACTCTTCATTATTGAGAATATGGATTACTTTCATTACCAAGGGTATGGTTTATTATTATATTCTCAATAATTAAAAAGCATACTCTTGATAATAACATATATCGACCCAAAGTTTTATTCATAAAATTCATTACCAAGTGTATGGTTTACTCTTCATTACCAAGGGTATGATTTACTCTTCATTACCAAGGGTATGATTTACTCTTCATTACTGAGAATATGGATTCCACTTCATTACCAACTGTATGGTTTACTCTTCATTACCAAGGGTATGGATTACTCTTCATTACCATGGGTATGGTTTACTCTTCATTACTATGGGTATGATTTACTGTTTATTACCATGGGTATGGTTTACTCTTCATTACCAAGTGTATGGTTTACTCTTCATTACTGAGGGTATGGATTACTCTTCATTATTGAGAATATGGATTGCTCTTCATTACCAAGGGTATTGATTACTCTTTATTATCAAGAATATTGTTTACTGCTTGTTTGACATTATTTGGACCTTCTATCACTGCTAACCAAACAATTGAAAATAGTCTACCATAAAACATATGTAGTGAAATCTTTATCTTTGGTTTTGTTTTAGACATCAGAAATTATTTCTTGGCTTATGTTTGTTTACACATTTAATAAATGAACATGTATTGAAAAGTAAAATCAAATTTTGTTCTATTGATCAGATCAAAACTTAACTAAAATCATTGTTTCAATCTCTGATTTTTTTGTAGAAATTGGTACTCTCTTGCTGTCAAAAATGGAACCATCCCTACGCCATCACTTTTTTCACAATGCACAATGTTCAGGAGATGTTGCTCAGTCAATCAATGGAATGGGGTAAGTTAATTCCTCATTATAGTTAAATAGCATAAACAAAACAAACATGATTTTTGTGATGTTAGATGGCTTCATTTGTCACTTTTGTTATGTCATTATCACTTTAAAAAATGCTCAATATATTCGAGATTTTATAGATGCCAGTACTAGTAGTAATGCCTTCCAATAATATCCACACTAGTAATACTTGTTCAAGTAGTAATCGTCAAATAGCATAATGATCAGACCAGAATCGTAATCTGTATATTAGTAGAGTAGAGAGAGAGTGAACATATAGCAATAGATAGAATATTGTTTTCAATCGTTATGAGTCTATCGATTGGTGAATAGAATTTTATTATAAACAATTATCTTGTAAATGGAATTTTTAAAGCATTCTGAATGTATAAATAAAGAAAAAAGTGTACAAGACAATAAGAAATACTACTTGCCAAAAAAAAAAAAGTGGATGTTTGTTTTATCGGCTGAAAAATGTAAGAAATCCGATCCCATATATAAAGGAACACACACACACACACACACACACACACACACACACACACACACACACACAACCTGGGTTTTTAACCTAAGTCACTCCACGGAATCGCTAAAACATAGAGCATAGTCTGATGAAAAAAGACGCCAAAGTTCATGAAAACAAAATTTTATCGTCAAAATGCTCATGTTTTTATGAAGAGGATAGACTAAATTTTTTTTAATTATTTTTAAAATTTTTCCATCTTTTAGAATATTCTAAATTTTGATTTAAAAAACCTTGTTTTTTTTTGTCGTAACAAGGGGTAGTAAATAACATAGATAATTTTAGTGCGTTTTTTTTGTATTTAAACATATTAATTTGGAAAATCTTGCAAAAATAAAAATAATTGTCAGATTGTAATGAAACTTTCAGAAACTATTCACAGATGATCGAAATTATTATAAATATGTTTTTTTTTTAATTAAAGTCATGGCAGAAATATTTTTTTTTATATTTATTAACACCCCCATAACTAATTTTATGAAAAACTCTAGAAATTTGAGACCATCGGTTTTAGTGATTACAATAGGCTTTGAAGAATGCAAATCATGTTTTTTTTTGTTTTTTTTTTTGGCAAACGTCTGAAAATCAGCTGTGAATTGTAACATACAAAACTCAATAAAACAAATATATTATTTAGTTTCAAATGCTTTTATTTGTTTTAATTTGTTTTTATGAATATGGACAATATTTTCTGAAAGCAAAAATTTTTTTTCAATGAAAATTGAATTTTTAATACAATTATTTCTTATTTCTTTAATTTTAAAAGATTTTTAAAAAAATTTTAAATTGAATTTTTAAAATATTTTAACATTAGTTAAAAGCAACATCAACCTTTCAAAATGTCCGTGTGAGATTGTCATTGTCTAGCGCTTTGAAAATTGTATAATTTGGACCAATCAGATTAGCCATGGTAATTAAGAAATGTAATTTTGTGTTTATAGTCGGACAGTAATTATCAAGTACGGAAGACCAACCAGAATACAATTTAGTTGCATTATTTGAGTTCAGCATTGTTCTCCGCTGTTAAGCCCCTTACTTTTTTGAAACAGGTATGGAGAAGTTAATTTGAGTTTTCAATTTCAACTGAGAAGGGTACCTACAAGTAACAGTATCATCTTATGAAATATAACTACTGCTAAACTTTAATTTATATGATCTTATTTTTTATATTAATCTCAGTTATGACATTTTTCCATAAATGAAATATCAAAATTAATAATAAAATGAATGGAAATACAAATAACACAATAAAATGTAATAAATGTACATAAAATTATAGTATTTTATGTACACTTCTGATAAAATTTCATAAGAAAGGTACCTAAATTAATTAGATACCTTTTTCTTATGAAATTTAATCTCACTATTAATAGTCTTATCTTTTAATTTCTTTATATTTTCCATAAAGCATCGTAAACGTAAAAATGAAAGCTAAGTACAAAAAAAAAAATAAAAAATTAGAGCGCTGAAAGTTTTCCTTAAAAGTAACGAGGTAAATAATTTGTTCACTTAAATAATTTCACTTCCTTCCATCCGTAGAAAGAATTATCCTCCTGTAAGTTATCTAAATGTCATGAATGTGCCTTTCATCAATCGTCAAGCGAAGCGAAAGGTTATGACCTGCTTTGTTTTATTTTCAAATTACATTTTTTCGGCGCAGAAGCTAAGTTAAGCTTGGTTCAAAATATTTTAAATAAACAGTATAATTTCTGTTTTTATTAAAATCAGTTTTGAAAAAATGATAATTGATTTTTAAAAGAATATCAAAGTCAGATTTTAATCTTTTTTATCAAATCGAAAAAAAATGATTGAAAATGATTGATTATCTGTCCTTTTTTTTACCAAAAAAAAAAACAATATTTTTAACGAAAATTTCAGACGTGCTAGGAACAATTAAAAAATGTAAAAAAATACCCCAAAAATACTTTCCTCTTTAATAATATGAACATTAGACGATAAAATTTTGTTTTCATCAAGTTCGGCTTTTTTTTCATCATGCTATGCTCTTTTGTTTACATTTTCGTGGGTGAGTTGTCCCCCTTTCATTCTCACGATGTGTCTTAATCGTGTTTTCATATGGATTTTGTTAAAAAACAATTTTGTTTTTCCCATTTTCAGCACCGTTAGAACCATCACAAGGTAATTTTATGTAGTCCTGTGAAGTTTTGTTGAAATCGGCTAAAAAATGTAGGAAATTCGATCCAATATATAAACGTTACAGACACACACACTTTTATACAACAATGATGTAAAAAAATAGTAATGGCACTTTTAAAAAATAGCTATTTTATACTCAATGTCAGTGTGGGCAATGGCACTTTTATACAAAAATGATGTATGTATAAAAAAATAGCTATTTTATACTCAATGTCAGTGTGGGCAATGGCACTTTTATACAAAAATGATGTATGTATAAAAAAATAGGTATTTCATACTCAATGTCAGTGTTGACAATGACACTTTTATACAACAATGATGTATGTATAAAAAAATAGCTATTTTATACTCAATGTCAGTGTGGGCAATGGCACTTTTATACAAAAATGATGTATGTATAAAAAAATAGCTATTTTATACTCAATGTCAGTGTTGACAATGACACTTTTATACAACAATGATGTATGTATAATAAAATAGCTATTTTATACTCAATGTCAGTGTGGGCAATGGCACTTTTATACAAAAATGATGTATGTATAAAAAAATAGCTATTTTATACTCAATGTCAGTGTTGACAATGACACTTTTATACAAAAATGATGTATGTATAATAAAATAGCTATTTTATACTCAATGTCAGTGTTGGCAATGGCATTTACACTTATACAACAATGATGTATGTAATAAAAATAGGTATTTTATACTCAATGTCAGTGTTGGCAATGGCATTTACACTTATACAACAATGATGTATGTATAATAAAATAGCTATTTTATACTCAATGTCAGTGTTGGCAATGGCATTTACACTTATACAACAATGATGTATGTATAATAAAATAGCTATTTTATACTCAATGTCAGTGTTGGCAATGGCATTTACACTTATACAACAATGATGTATGTAATAAAAATAGGTATTTTATACTCAATGTCAGTATGTTAAAATGGTATTTTTACACTTATACAACAATGATTTATGTATAATAAAATAGCTATTTTATACTCAATGTCAGTGTTGGCAATGGCATTTACACTTATACAACAATGATGTATGTAAAAATAATTTTAAAATAGCTATTTTATACTCAATGTCAGCTATTTTATGGCAATGTCATTTGGCATTTACACTTATACAACAATGATGTATGTATAATAAAATAGCTATTTTTATACATTTCAATACAACAATGATGTAGTAATAAAAATAGTTATTTTATACTCAATGTCAGTGTTTTACACTTATACAACAAATGATGTAATAAAATGTATTTTTAATAAAATAGCTATTTTATACTCAATGTCAGTGTGGCAATAATATACAACAATGATGTATGTAATTTATTTTATACTCAATGTCAAAATTTACACTTATACAAACAATGATGTATGTAAAAAAATAGGTATTTTATACTCAATGTCAGTGTTGGCAATGGCATTTACACTTATACAACAATGATGTATGTAATAAAAATAGGTATTTTATACTCAATGTCAGTGTTGGCAATGGCATTTACACTTATACAACAATGATGTATGTAATAAAAATAGGTATTTTATACTCAATGTCAGTGTTGGCAATGGCATTTACACTTATACAACAATGATGTATGTATAATAAAATAGCTATTTTATACAATGTCAATGTCATTTACACTTATACAACAATGATGTATGTAATAAAATAGGTATTTTTATACTTAATGTCATTTACATTTTATACAACAATGATGTATGTAATAAAAATAGGTATTTTATACTCAATGTCAGTGTTGGCAATGGCATTTACACTTTATACAACAATGATGTATGTATAAAAATAGGTATTTTAAAATAGCTATTTTATATACTTATACAACAATGAATGGTATTTTATTGGCAATGGTCATTTACACTTATACAACAATGATGTATGTAATAAAAATAGGTATTTTATACTCAATGTCAGTGTTGGCAATGGCATTTACACTTATACAACAATGATGTATGTAACAAAAAATAATTTTAAAATAGCTATTTTATACAATGGCAACTTATACAACAATGATGTATGTAATAAAAATAGGTATTTTATACTCAATGTCAGTGTTGGCAATGGCATTTACATTTTATACAACAATGATGTATGTAATAAAAACATAATTATACAACAATGATGTATGTAATAAAAATAGGTATTTTATACTCAATGTCAGTGTTGGCAATGGCATTTACACTTATACAACAATGATGTATGTAATAAAAATAGGTATTTTATACTCAATGTCAGTGTTGGCAATGGCATTTACACTTATACAACAATGATGTATGTAATAAA